TAATAAGTGTTATAGCATTTCCTTAAGAAGACAAAATGTCTGATTAGTAACTTAAAACGGGACAAGTTTTCTAGCTGTAAGCTAGAGCGGTAAGTGTTATACCATAGTGTAAAGCTGTAAGAATAAATTGTATAAGTAAAGTCGAGTGTAATGCTTTTTGGAATTGCTTTTTGATTGGTACAATTTAAAACGTTATAATTTATAAAGTGGTTGTAAGCTGTATAAAATATGCTACCAATCAAAAAAAAAAAAAAATTTCTTAGTGATCATTACATCTATTTCCACACACCAGGGACCTATCAAATAACAATCTGACCGGTGAAGTGCCAGAGTTTTTGTCTACCATGAAATCATTGACCGTCATGTAAGTTGCTGGTGGAGAAAAAAAAACGTTTTCGCTTTATATGATAAACTAGATTCATATAGTAAAGTTTTGTACGTATATATATACAGAGACTTGAGTTGGAACAACCTTAGTGGCTCAGTTCCTCAAACTCTTTGTAACATGCAAAAGAAAGGCCTAAAGTTGATTTATGTTTCTCTTTGTCCCGCCGAAAATTTTTGTTTCTACTGTTGTCCAATCATAAGGTAACAAGACTAATTATGTTCAATAATAGTCTTGTAGAAAATCCAAACCTTTGTTTGTCTCCTTCTTGCGAAAGTAATGGAAAACACAAAAATAAAATTATGGTCCCCGTTGTGGTAGTTGCGTCCATAGGTGTTGTTGCAGTTTTGCTTCTTCTCATCATTTACGTTACTAGAAAGAAGAGACCGTTGAAAGGTAAACTCCATGACAGAGATAAAAACTCTTAAATCTATAGAATTTTGTTTGTGATGCATTCTGCTTATTTATTTTTTTCCAGCTTTACGGCCATCCATTGTGGGAAAAAAGAGAAGCTTGACTTATGAAGAGGTTAAGGAGATGACAAATAACTTTGCAAGAGTTGTTGGAGAAGGAGGGTTTGGGATCGTGTATCACGGTTTTTTGAATCGTAATGAACAGGTTGCTGCTAAAGTGCTCTCACATTCCTCATCTCAAGGCTATGAGCAATTCAAGGCTGAGGTAATTGCACCATTAGTAATCTTCTTCCTAAGAAAGTTAGATTCATCACCAAGCTGACAGATTTGTGGTTTGACAGGTGGAACTTCTTATCAGAGTTCACCATATAAATTTGGTAAGTCTTGTTGGCTACTGTGATGATGGAAACCATTTTGTCCTCATCTATGAATACATGCCCAATGAAGACTTAAGAAAACATCTATCCGGTAAACTTGATTTCTTTTTGCCGCTACCGCAATAATGACCGTATTTCAGGTTTTTATATCCTTTCAAATATTTGAAGCTTTTGATGGAATTTGACCACACATTTTTTGGATACAGGACAATGTGCTAGCTCGCTTTTGAGCTGGGAAAGTAGGCTAAGAATTGCTGCAGAGACTGCACAAGGTTCCTTTTAAGTTCTTAGACCTCATCACATTTACCTTTAGCTGCAAACACTTTGTACTTTGGAGGATTGAATATATAAGCTTTTCTCATTCTATTTGTAAGCTTCCGGCAACAAAAAAAATGTTATGATACTTTCGTGTGTTATTTTATGTAGGATTGGAGTACTTACATATTGCCAGCAAACCACCCATGATTCATAGAGATGTCAAGTCTACAAATATACTCCTCGACGAGCTCTTCCAAGCAAAACTTGGTGATTTTGGTCTTTCAAGATCTTTCCCAATAGGATCTGAAACTCACGTGTCAACAAATGTTGTTGGATCACCCGGTTATCTGGACCCTGAGTAAGTATCGCAGGTTAGTCTGATATAACATATCCAATGTAATATGTGTTTCATTCTGATAAAATATATTTTTTTTATACTATAGGTATAACAGAACAAATTGGTTGACAGAGAAAAGTGATGTTTATAGCTTTGGAGTTGTAATATTGGAAATAATCACAAGCCGAAATGTGATTGACCAGACTCGTGAAAACCCTTACATAGTAGAATGGGTGGGATCTAGGCTAGCCAATGGAGATATTGATAACATTGTGGATTCAAGTCTTGTTGGGGATTATGACTCTAGTTCTATGTGGAAAGCTCTTGAACTAGCAATGTCGTGCGTTAGTCCTACTTCTTCTGGAAGACCAAACATGTCTCAAGTTGCTAGTGAGTTAAAAGCGTGTCTCTTCTCTGAGAACTCGCGAAAAGGAGGGAGATCTGATGTGGAGTCTAAAAGTTCCAATGAACTGAGCATGAGCAATGGTCTTGTAGAGAACCCTCATGCACGCTAGTTCATGCCAAGAGTCTAAAAGTTCCAATGAACTGACCATGAGCAATGGTCTTGTAGAGAACCCTCATGCACGCTAGTTCTTGCCAGGAGTCTCAGTCTTTTCTGAATTTCTGATGTAATATCGATTAAACGGTGACATTTGCTTATTCAACGGAATATCATTTTGATGTTAAGCATGTTTGGTTAAAAATTAATCATGTTTGAGCACGCTAGGTCCAAGCTTGGTTAAAAATTAAGCACGTTTGATGTTTCAGAAAGCAAAGGCAATATATCATTTTAGCGATTCAAAATTCTGAAGATGTTATATGTGAGTTTAGTGCTGATACTGCAGAAGATTTGACTGAGGAGGAGTTTAAAGACTATCAAAGTACCTTGTTGTGTGTTGTGTCATTTAAGTATTCGTTGAGTGCATGAGTTCTAAAACTCAGTCATCAAGGGGGAGGTTGTTAGGGTATTGCTGACTGGTTTAAGAAGTTAAGAGAACAAAGTCTGAGATAGAAGCACTAAGATAGACAGAGCTGAAGTAGAGTTGGAACAGAGCTGAAGCATAGCTAAAACAGAGTTGAAGCAAACGCTAAAACAGACGCTGAAGCAGTTATTAACAGGATTGGTTGCGAGCCTTGATGCTCATGGGCTTGAAGGCCACGTGACTTGGAGAGTCATTAGGGTCTAGGGACATGAGTATCTATACCTAGAGGTGTCATCAAAAGAACGCACGCGCCTAGGGTTTATTGTAAGATGCACACATGTGTGTGTGGCGTCGTCCCACCATGTTGGTGGTGATTGTCTATGAAGACTGCAGCCGTTGAGGAGATGGTGATGCACCGGTGCGCCGGGTGGTAGTCAAGCATGCGTGCTTCATACTGTTTTCATAGTGTTTCCATATAGAAAAGAGCGGTAGAGCACTAGTGTTCGTTTCCTACTCCTCGGGACCACATCCAAAAATAATCCACTATAGAACAAAAAAGCAATACACAATTGCAAACGCATAATCAAATACAACTGTTTTGACTACCGCTGCTTAGGTAACTTGACGGGTTACGCCACATGTTTTCACCTGTCCTGAGTAGTGTGGCCACAATGTGGAGGACGATTCGGGCTAGATAGTGAGTGATCAAACATACGTGTGACAAAAGGCACACAGAAAACAAAGCACGGAGCCCAAGCTTTTATATCAAAAACTCGGATTAGGTATGAATTTTTTTTTAATAGCGTGAATGTTAAGATATTTGAATATGTTTGAATTGGTCAACAATTCAATAATTAATACTATTCACCTTATGCGTTTAATAGGTAAAAGTAATTGGCATTTGCTCCGTGGAACGATTAAAGCAGACAATGTTGATTCCGAAAAGCCACCTAGCGTCCTACCCGCCGCATTAGGTGTTGCAACCTAAACGGTAAAGGCAAATTTTGCACCGCATAATCATGTTATTGGACAAATAGAGCATAAAAACAATGATAGTGAGTGAAAAGTATTCAAGTGTATTGTATCGGAACGAATCAGCGGACCCAGTCCCGATTTAAGATACTAGATTTTCCACATATAAATTGCTCTAATTTCATATCAAATAAAAAAATTTAAGATTTTGTGCGAAAACCAATTGGAATAGCTAAACCTTAATAATATATATCTTATGTCCTATACTATTTGGTTTAAAATTAATCTTGAATTTTCATGTATTGATTCGGTTAAGTGAAACGAAACTATTTATTGAAGTATGACAATTACATATGTCGCATCATCCTACGTTAACGGATTAAAAACAATGTTTTCATTATTTAGTGCAACTAACATTTGTGATCCTGCCCTTTTTTCAAAAAAAAAAAAAAAACATTTGTGATCCCAAATGAGCATTTTTACTCTGATGTAATTAATAGGGCTGGGCAAATTATCCGTTAC